TGAACACACTTGAGGAGCATTCCTTGTTGTCAATTTGCGAGTCACAACCTTGCAGCTTCTGCCGGCTCTTGCACAGATGTCCTCAGCCTTGCGAAAACCTGTTGGTGTTGCCGGGCTGTCGCCCGAAGAGCCATCAAGTTTCTTTGCTTGGGGACACAAAGGCCAGCCATCTAGTGTGACCTTGCCCGACGTGCCAATGTCGGTGCAAGGGGTCACTGGAATGGCACAGCTTCCGGCTTCCGGTTGCTCTGTTCACACACCGGCTTGGACAGAAATAATACTACATTTTTTCATGGTTTTCTCAACAATTTTCAGTGTCTGCAAAACTCCAGTTACATTAATTCTGGACAAACCTACCGTGTCGTAACGTATCCAATAAGTCTTTGTTCAGGTTGACTTCTGATTTTGATAACTTTGGTTTTTGCCAAGCCCACTGATCCAGCCCCCGCGGATCCAACCCTACAAACGAGCATATTGATTTAAGAACCCAAAAACTGAAAAGTTAAGTAAACTCATGCCGACCCTGTAAAGCGGACTCAATTGTACCCCACTCAATTGTACCCCTGTCAAGGCGGGTCCCGTATTGCATCCTCTTTGAATCCCAAAAAAACACATGCCGACCCTGCAAAATTGACTCAATCACAGAACCCTCAGTACCCCTGTCAAGGTGGGTCCTGTATTGCACGCCATCAGGATCCGGATGCTCGAAGCTTGCCCACTGGTGGCTCAGGAATGCCACCCCTTCCTGCCGATGCGAAGAAACGCAGAAGTGAGTCTTGATATGAGACTTCCGTTGTTTTAGGATTCAGGGGTTCTGATTGTTGGAGAAGAGCTCGGAGGGATTCTCGTGAAGGTTTGGGCATTCTGTTATCGCTTCAGGGCTTCTGCTTCGGAGTTTCGCAAGCCAGGTGTGGGGTCTATGAGTCCATGCTACACTACTAAAACACCAAAGAACCCGTGAATTGATGCCAACGTGCGACGTGGACAAGACGGTAGACACACGTACATAAATACCTGATGCATTTGTGTGCAGAACCTTGTACTTCTGCAGCGTATACCCATGCCAGCCTCCATCGTGACACTTACATACATGGATGCGTGCCTGCATGTATGTATCTATCTATGTACCTATGGTTCTCAACCCAGTTGAATATCTGCTATCTATCTCCATCCATCGAGTTGTGTACGTGTGCACGCGTGTCCGTATGCTTCTGTGCCTGTCTGTCTGCACGTATGAAAGCTTGCATGAATGTATGCATGCACGCATGCATACTTGTAAGTAAACATGTATTTATGCAAGTAAGTAAGTAAGTAAGTAAGTGGGCAAGTACGTAAGCGAGAAAGTACATGTATGTATGTATGTATGTATGCATGTATGTATATGTATGTACGTATGTATGTACGTATGTATGTATGCATGCATGTGTGTGTATGCATGTATGTCTGTATGTCTGTATATCCGTTTGTCGGTCTGTCTGTCTGTCTGTCTGTCTGTCTGCCGGTGTGTCTGTATGTATGTATATGTGGTTGCGCATGTCTTCGCTTAGGCCGACAGGCAAACTTCGGGCTAGCCGAGGGTCTCGGAACATTCGGGCTACCTTGACACCGCCCCTATGCAGAAACAGTCCCTAATAGAGCTACCATTAGTTGCCTTTATATCTGTATAATAGTAAGCGCTATCCAACTGTTATTGAGTCGGGGCAGTACCCAAGGGCTACCCTGCATAGGCTCGTGATGGGGTCCCGTCCATGTGACGCCTTGCGAAGGAAGCCTATCAAGATGTCTCCAGGCTTACTTCTCTAGTATCCTGGCGGAGCTAAAGCCTATCATTTTGGTACTATCCCGCAAATGTTAATCACCTGACCTGCTACTCAGCAATGTTCGGAAAATCTATTGGTCGATTGTATGAAATTACCGGGGCTAGGGTTTAGGGGGTTTAGGGGTTAAGGTCTTAGCGACCAGGCATATCCAGGCAGTCCTCCTGGCAAAGTCTGGCGGCCTCCTCGGCGATATCAATGCAACCTGTGCGGACGAAAACCCTGCATCTCAAAATCGTGAGATTTCAAACCCTAACAGGAAATCCCAAACCCCCAAACCCACCTCACAATTGAGGGTTGTGGAGACCCCCAAAGAGACCCAAGGACTCTCCCTAGGTCATTCCGGACCCTCCTGAGGAGATATTTGGACACTTAGGGTACACCCCACACCCTGAAGCTCCAAACTTAAACCCCGCAACTTTCAAGCTGAAGCCCTTCACTGGGCACTGGGTCTCTGAGCCTGCAAGTAGCAGGGAGATCTATGGCCTTTGAAGGTGGACGGTTTGGGGCGGTATGGGTTTATAGGGCTTTCAGGGTTTATAGGGTGAAAGGGTTTAGGATTTGCGGTAGAGGTGTTTATGGGGTTTATAAGATTTAGGTTTTTTAGTCGAAGCCAGAATGTTGGAACATCATTATCCTCATGCCCGTGGCGTAAAGTACAGGGGATCCCAGCACTGATCATCCTAAAACCACGTTCCAACTTTCAAGAGTTCACTATAATGTTGGGTTACGAGGTGTAGGGTTTCGGTATCAGGTATGAAGGTTGAAAGGCCTAGGGTTCAGCTTTATAGCTGCGAGCTGGGGGCAGGTTGCAGACCTGCTCTTAGGACCCAGACGATACAAGATGCCGTTATCCAATGTTTCCTTGGACTCCAATGGTTCTTAGCATCCTTGACTGGGTTGGCCTTTAAACACCCTGAACAATATTTATATATAGGGCCCCTTATAAACCCAAATAACGAAAATAAAAAATGTCCCAAAATCCAACCTAGTTGATTGATCAAATCGGAAGTCATTGCAAGTTTAGGGATAGTGTTGTCTGCGGCTCCCTGTTGCTGCTTATAAGCCCCTAGCGCTGGATTCCTGAGTAGCCTCATGGGTGCCATTTTTCCTATTATTTCGCTGTAACTCCCTTAAAAAGGCCCCAAAACCCTAAGCCTTTACATGCCCATGCTTGAACATTCCAGGTGGCGGAGGCGGCGAGCTTCGCGTGCATCTTCATGGCATATAAGTTCTCCCAGCCGAAGGAAATCGTCCACTTTCAAGACGCCTCGATGCCATTCGGACCATAGATTTCAGGGTTCAAGGTTTGGGTTTTTGGTATACAGACATTGTACATACGTACATACAGAAATACATACATGCATACATTCATTCATTCATTCATTCATTCAAAAAATGTATCTATATATGTATATACGCACATCTATATGTAGATTGGTCTTGTGACTGCCATGAATATCCCGGCAGGGCCGAGCAATCAAAGGGCTTTGGGGTTGAGGAGGCGGAGCATTTGCTACAGGATGAGGTGTATTCAAGCTTCGGTTCCAAAGCTTCAAAGCTACCAGCACTTAGGACATTACCAACCATTGCTGCTCTGATATACACTCCAGCCCTCGCAAGCGGCACATACGATGACTATCGAGCGCGAGGAACACGTGTAGAGACGAAAGGCACCTGCACAAAAGCTTCGGACGTATAAGCAGGCGTGTGGGTGCATACGTACATACACACACGCATACATACCATACTTGTACATGAAATCTTCTGATAGTCGAACTGCCTTGCAGGCGATACCGGTGCTTGGAACATGCTTGAAGACAAGACAGAACCAGCTTAGCTGTTGGCATTCCCTGTAGTTTGCTTCGGGCATGAGTGCGGAAAACCTCCGAGTGTTTGACAGTTGGTACTGAAGCCTGAATGATGAGACAGCGGCTTCGCGGTGACATTCCAGTGATATTCTGGGAACTTGTTCCCTATTCAGGCCCTATATTGCAGTGTGTTGTTAAGGATCTTTTAGTGGGTCTGGAGCGCGAGGAGCTCCCTGCCACACCTACAGTCGGTAAGTTCCGTAGAAGCCGGACCAGGAAGCTAGCTTAGAGGCCCTAATTGGGAAACTTTCAGAATCCAATCAAGGTCTGTAACTCTAAACTCCATGCCCCAAACTAGCCTAGACCCTAATCGAGTGCTTTCAGCCTCCCCCAAGCGTTACGTGAAGACTTCAGCCACTAACTCCTTAATCGTATCCCTCATCGCATAATGTACACAGACCCTGCTCGAATTGCTACGACCCCTCTTCTACTAAGCCGCCTAATGCTGGGCACCCTGACACATTGGGAACTGGAGCAGGTCGAGATTCGAGATCGACCTGCCCAAACGACGGCTTCCGGACTTCACGAGGCTTTAAAAGTTAGGATGATGGCGGCTTTCGGGCTTACTTGGGGGGTCGGGGGACTTAGTAAGTAGTTAGTAAGTAGACTTATAAGTACACTAAAAGGGACCCTAATTGGGGTTATGGTACTTATAAGTCCGTAAAATAACCAGTTACTAAGTCCCCCGACCCTCCAAGTAGGCACCCGGATTGGGGTGTAGGGCTGTAGCGTTTAGGGCTTTGCAGGGTTAGGTGCGGGCTTCGGTGGTGAAAGCTTTTGTTGTGGAGTTGCCGGCTCTGGGGGTTTTAGGAAGACCTGAAGCATTAAGGTTCACAAACAACTACTATAAGGGTCTTATATACAAGCTAAACGAAATAGGTACCGTAAGAGGGTGTTATGAAAGATACAGACCCCTGCCCCTTCATGATGAGCGTTTATGCGGGTTTGGGTTCGTGGGTTTAGGGTTCGGGGTTCCCGTATGAAACCCTCTCATCCCCGATCCCTTCTACATGGCTTTCAGGCGAACTTCGAGAGACTGGGCACTCAGGAAGCGAACGCAAACAGAAACGGTAACTGCTGCTCAAGAGGTTGGGAATGAGCTAGACTTGTAATAGGAATCAAAAACCCTTCACAAGCCCCCTAATTCCCAATATGCAGAAACCTTAAAGTTTGGGACTTTGGTCTTTTCGGCAAAAAACCAACCTAATATAAACATTTCCGGCACCCGCAATTTCGCGGTTTCGGCCACGAATGAAAGTTAATTGCAGACATGAGGGGGTCTAGGATTCTATAAGCTTTAATGGAGCCAAGACTACAGCAGTACTAATCAAACGGAAAGGACCAGAACTTTACAAATTTGGGGCTTGCGTCTCAGGGCTTAAAATTTAGGGCTTCAGGGCTTCAGGGCTTGGGGCTCTAGGGCTTTCGCACGGTCGTTGTTTACTTGTCTGACTGTCGGGCTCAATGCTAATTGCTGTCAATCCGACTCATACCCGGATGCACCGAAACCCGCCAAAATCCCGAAACTTAGCAAAGCGAATAACCCTCCAACTACCAAGATGGAGGCAAAGTGCGCGAGGATGGTTCTTGAAATCCTGAGCCGGCCAGGTTAAGGAGGTCCTTCGTATGGCCCCACGTGCATTAACATGGGGTTATAGCCTACTAGCTTTGAAGGCTTGCTGTCCCAAGTTGGTTGGTTCTAAGTAGTTCTCGTTTAGGGCTTGCAGCCTGGAGTGCTCCTTGTTGAGTGGCTCTGAGGTTTGTAAGCTTGGCCGTTATTGGCTTAAGGCTTGGGGTAGTATGGCATATGACGGCATATGGGCGATATGTATGTGTCTGGTTTATTCTACTGGTGAACTGTTGTGATTCCGGAAGGAAGCCTCGTATATTTTAATTCACACTCTCACCTTCGATTCTGGGTCTTGCTTGGGTCAGGCTTGGAGGACTCCTTTACCAAGAGCTAAACTTTAGATGCATGATGCAACACGATGGCCATGGATTGGCTGACTTCTGAGCACCCCCCGACAAGATGCTGTAAGAACAGAAGCACAAAGAGTCGGAACCCTGAGCAGAGAGAGAACCAAGACGGGCCTAAGCAGTCTCACAGCTCCAGCGGCATGAGCCACACGTGTCTTATTATGTTTTGCTCGATGCAGCGTCCGACAAGGAAGACCTATCCAACACCTCGACCAACATCAGCGGACACGGGCGTCTCCAAAGGCGCATACATGTCCAAGCACATTGCACATACAACAAACGAACCTCGTCTTCCTTTTTGCAGCGCTATTTGTTCATTGGTCGGTTTCCCTCGCTACTAGAAGTATATCCTTCTTGCTACTTGATATACTGGCCAGCTTGCTGCCTGCAATCTGGGCCTTTGTCCGGCGCGTCTGCTCTTCGAAACACTGTGACAGACTTGCCAGAGTCTCGTTCAGGCCTGCGAACATGTCATCATCATCTTTCAAGTTTTCGAACAAGGCCAATTCGCCGTCCTCGTCCAAGGAATTAATGAGCCAGACCACTTCAGGCACCTTAATCTCCTCACATTTTCCGAGGACATCACCTACAGTGCCCGTCTGGATTCTTAGCTGCATCTGGAATGCCTCGACCTCATTCTCAAGAGTGCGGAAGCTCCGGTCGTTCTCAGCCACCGTGACTGTTGCCAAGACGCATGGAACCCCCACAGCTGCCACCAGTGGCGGAGTCGGAACAGCGAACGCAACTGCTGCTGCACATCCCACCCCAACTTCAAGAGTCTATTCCTGGATCTTGTTTCGAGCGATCCCGAGATCTTTTGCCAGTTTCGAGACATGCTCGAGCAGGCCTGCGTGCTCTTTCAGATCTGACTGAAGCCAAGAAACCCACTCCTCGATGGACGGCCTGACAAAGTACAAGAAGAACAAAGCTTTTCCAGCTGAAAGCTTGCTCCGTTTCTTCTCAAGAAACCTCACCCGTTTCTGCATCTTCTTCAAATGAAGAGACACATGGCAAGTTGCATCATGGTACTGAGGCATTAAGTCAGACTTGTAGGAGGACTCGTACTCTGTTTTCGTCGCAGCCGTAAGAGCAAGGCTGTGGAAATGGTGGACCAGCTTGTAAAAGGGCGACCCCAGAAACAATATCTCACCCAACTTCGAACCGAATGCTTGAATGGCCCGCTTGTTTTTGAAGAAGATTTGCGTGAGCTCGATTTCCGCGGAGGTCTCGGAGGCGTATTTGATGCCACCCCACCCAGCCTCAAATGTGGTAGAAGTCTGTGCTTTGCACCCGGATGAAGGCCACAAGCATGAGCTGGAGGACAGATGCTCTCCACAGAAGCTCAATGTCGCCCTTCTGGCTTGCCACTTGGCCGTTGCCTTCCTCCTGCTGCGCCTTGATGCAGCAGTCCTTGACTCTCTTTACCGGCATGTCTCGACTTGAGAAGCGTGCAGGCATGCGAGAACGTGAAAGGCTGACAAAGCACGATGCACGCCACACCGCGAGTGACATCACCATGATCATGCCAACCTGACGCCTCGAGGATGCCATAGCTGAAGCTGGCTCGTGTCAAGATGTGAAGGACTCCTTCGGGTTTGAGTTTGCACTCGCCGGCGGAAAGACATGGCTGCTGTCAACCTCTTTGCAAACCGGCTATCCTGCTCTAGTTTAGTCCGCAATACGAGAATCTCGTCGTAGGTTTTACAGTTTGGACGAGATGTTGAATCCTTGGCCGAAGAGACGGAAAACGTCAATGCAATAACAGCTTCAAGCACCCCCGCAGACACGGACAGGAAAATAAAGGAAGGAGCAAATGGTAGACGACTAAGGTGTAAGCTAGACGTGCGCTTAGACATAGAAAGCTGCCAACCATGGAACACTCCACGAACGTAATGGGGCTGCAAATAAGAAACACCGTGCACTGGGTGCAACAGGAATCATCAGCATCGACAGGCATCGCCAGAGACAGCGTGAAGAACAACACCAACATAATAAAACACGCCCGAGCTCCAGTAGAACTTCTCCACTCAAGCTCACTTCCGACCATACCCTTTTTGGAACAGGAGCTCGATCTTAAGGCAAGCAATACCCTTAGAACAACCCCGCTGTGCTTTTACTGGTTCTTTGTTGGGGCTATATTAAGACTGATCGATTATGTTTAATCTTACTAGGTTTCGTTATAACAAAAATGTCAAACTATAACCAACAAGGACCCAGTTGTAGGTGTGTATGCCTGGGGTCTGGAACCCTCAGACTGTTTGGGGATTGGGGTTTGGCAGTCTGACCCTAAACCCTAAACATTCTGAGCAAGCTTGGATTGGCCTGTGATTTATTGAAGGGAGGGTGCCTGCTTTATCAACTATGAGCTATAACCGAGACCCAAAGCCCTATTCCATCTGTCCAGAGCCCTGGTGTTGGGATTATAAAATCAAGGATCCAAACACGGAAGGATTTGCTGCGAGCCAAGCTGCACTTCCCGTCGATACTCTTCAAGCCTAGAGCAGCAGCAGTTCTTCTCAAAACTTGAAGACTTAAGGCTCCAACACTGGCTCTATAGGAATCTTATAAGCCTCTTGTGAGATTTGGCAGGGTTCTTGTTGGGTTCGGTTTAGAGTTCAGAACTGCCCTTTTGCAGTGTCTAAAGACTATAGTAGAAGCTCAAAAGTTGCAAACCCAATAGCCTCAACCCTTAAGAGTAATGTATAGGTATACCCCAGCACTATTCGGCCTTAATCAGGCTTCCAACTTTATGGGGTTTACTGTCGGGTGTAAGGCTTTGAGTTGGGAGTGCTTTTTGATGCCACGTAACGACAACGGTGCTGAAGAACATGAGCCAGCTGCATGCGATAACACTCCAAGAGCTGTTGTCCATGACTGTACCGAAGGATGGCTCAAATATTACTGGCACTAGACTAGACTTGTTTTAATATCATGATTAGATACCATTGATATTTCTTACTGTCATCACTCTTCCTACAAGTACGACTATAGTGATCTCACAAAAGTACCCTAACGGATCTCTTATAGTAACCCTACCCCTTAAAGGAACCCTACTCCAAACTATTACGGCCCCTATACGCGATTGTTCGCAACACTTACAGGTGCATGGTACTTAGTAACTAGGGACATAAATAAGGTAACTATACTTATTGTTGGTTGTATCCCGAGCTAAGGTACTAATTATTATAACTGTACATACTAAGCCCCATTAACCTCCAAGTAGTACCCTAAACCCTAAACCCAAACCCTATAGATCCCTTTAAGGAGCTCTTTAAGAACCATACTAAGTCCCATGAACTTCAAAAAAAAGCAGGCCTCAGGAGCTGCTGCGCGCGCTTGCGCATGGTGATGAGGATGCTGATGCCAAGGCCAACCCCGAGGAGCCCCGTCATGGGCAAGACTACCTCAGTAGCAGTAGCAGTACCCATAGGCCCCAAAGTAGTTCCATTTTGGGGTTCATATTTAGAATCCTATAAGGTAATCTCAAGAAGGAACTACTTTGGGGCCTGCTTTTGGGTTTAGTTTAGGCTTTGACTACCTCGAAAGCAGCTGACAGTGGTAGTAGTGCGAACGCGGAGTGGGAGTTTCCGAAAACAGGGGTCCCTTTCTTTTGGGTGTCCTTATAATAAGGATCCTACTATGTAGGTACTACAACAGGGTCCCCTCTTTTCGGAAACTCCCGAGTAGACCACCTCAGTAGCTTCAGGTTTAAGGTTTCAGGGCATCAGGAAGAGAAGAAGTCTGTGTTAGCTCTCTTCTTCAACAACCGGGCCCCAAAAAAGTTCAAACTTGCTAACATCGAGCCAATACATAAGGCCAAAATGGCTAAGTTAGTGGTAGTGATGGTAGTAGTGGGAGTGGGAGTAGACTACTTCAGCAGCAGTAGTAGGTGCTGGTGGTAGTGCTTGTGGTAGCAGGAGTAGTCATAGTACAGTGACAATCAGGGAAAAGACGTAGCGGTAGGAGGCTGTAGCGGTGGGTGTAGAGTCTTGCTGGTACTAGGGCTGATAGGACTTGAACGTGGGTCCGTTTAGAGCTCACATCCCACCGAATCGTCTTGTACGATGCTTAGGTGTGGGCTATTCCGAATGAACCCTATTCACAGGCACTCCTTTCCATAAATCCAACACCCTGAGCCACAAACCCCTTCAGGGTTCAGGATGTAGGTTTTACGGCAAGCCCCTCGAATAACAGCGAGTCCTGTAACTCTAGTTGTTCGGGCTTTCTAGGGGTGTTTGGTCGACAGGCTCTGGAGCACGGCACTTACTTGCTCTGCAGACCAATGAAACACGTCGACAAACAAACGTTACAAGGGCGGGATATCTTGTATATATAATTCTCCCTTGAGTATGTAAGCCGATAATCAAGGGATATCGCACAAAACAGCTTAAACCTCCTCGCCCTTCTTAACGTATAGGACCTCGTCTATAGGACCCAACTAAAGAACCCTGAAAGAAACCTCACAGTTTCACATTACTTTTCCCCAGGGGTCCAAAGGGACCCAATAATTAGGTACTCGGTTTTCGGATAGTAGTTATGTAAGTTACTATTTTGCAGAGTATTTGAGAATCAGGTACTTGGACCCTTAGGGTTTGGGTTTAGGGTTTACGGTAACTTAGGGTTTGGGAAGTGACAAAGCCTATAGAACCCCCAAAAGCCTTGTCTTAGTTGCTGAGTTCATAAGCATCAAAATGTTTATCTACACTTTCAGTTTTAAAGTGGGTAGTATTATCCGAAAAAGTGTACAGTGTATCCACTCAGCTACTAAGATGTACAGAAGCCTGCAAATCCCGAAAGCAAACACCAAGCCCGATAGACCCCTAGAGCCGCACTTAGTTATAAGTGGGGTTATAGGGGTTTAGGGCTCCTTTTAGGGTTCTATGGGCCTTTGAGGATTATGGGGTTCGTGGGTAGTTTTATAAGTGGGGTTATAAGTAGGGTAATCAAAATACTAGCCCATAATGGGGGACTTACAACGGCACGTATAACTACCCGGTACTTGGGGGGTCGGGGGACTTAGTAAGTAGTTAGTAAGTAGACTTATAAGTACCCTAAAAGGGACCCTAATTGAGGTTATGGTACTTATAAGTCCCTAAAATAACCAGTTACTAAGTCCCCCGACCCTCCAAGTAAACCCAAACATCCACATTTTAGCTCGCAAGAAGCTTCAAACCCTCAGACCTTCAACGTTATGTAAACCCTTAGGCCCTACCTAAAGAGTATAACTACCCGGTAACCTCCAAGCATTGCTGCAGCCGAAGGTGCCAGGAGCTGTCGCCAAAAGTCCGCCGACACGAGCGGCCAGCCATTTTGCGGCATAACCTTACGTGGAGGTTCATGGTACTTAGTGACTAGGGTTATGAATAAGGGAACTGTACTTATAATGGGTTATATCCGCAGATAAGGTACTTATAACTGTACTTACTAAGTCCAAGTACCGGGAACTAAAGGTTAACCGTTAACGCTTTTGGTTATTTTAAGACTATATAGCCACTATACTACCCCAAAGAAGATAAAGGTTACCTCTCTACTAATGGGCTTACGCAAGGGCTTTCTAGGATTCTCGCTGGGGAGGCAGTGCTTTCGCTGTCTTGCTGCACCTTATCGATCCCACTAGCTTTGGTTTTAGGGTTTAGGGTTCAGGGTTTAGGGCTTAGGATTTGCACTTAAAATTTAGCAGTTCAAGTCGGGAAGTTGGGATTCATCGAGTTCATTCGTCAGACCCAAGAACGAAACCTTTCGTCGCAACACCAACAAACACTGTAAGGTCCTGTAAGTTATTATGTATAAAGCCCTTGCGAAGCCTCTTGTGAGCAATTGACCGCATAAGGCTGTTGCACGACCGTTTACACACACTTTTATACCCCGCTTATAATTGAAGCCCTAAACTTCCTATGCACCCTCTCATATAACCTGAATCCCTTTTGAAGCGTTTTGACAAACCCAGAGAGCCCAATACCTCTCAACTAAAGAATGTAGCTTAAACCATAATTAATATCACTCCTTAATTAATTAAGGAATATAGCTTAAATCATAATTAATATCAATCCCCTTATCATTTAAGGTATATTCCTTAATACAGGGGTATTGGGCTCTCTGCGAAGCCTCTGAGCCGTGTAAAATCGTAGAGAGCGCTTAGAAAGCCCTTGGAGGCCTTGCTCTAATCCTCGCCTTCTTGATTCGAACAGGGTCTTGCGGTCTCAGAAGCATACTTGGAGGGTCGGGGGACTTAGTAACTGGTTATTTTTAGGGACTTATAAGTACCATAACCCGAATTAAGGGTCCCTTTTAGGGTACTTATACGTCTACCTACTAACTACTTACTAAGTCCCCGACCCCCCAAGTTAAAACTAGGATGCCCAGAAACCTAGGAATGAAAAGGGCTCCGTTTTTCGTAGTAACTCTATAAGGAACCTAGGACTACAAAAAGGTAATAAGGGTAGTACTGGGCATCCTAGAAAAAGAACTCTCAGGAGAGATACAGGGAACTACCCAGATCCCAATACCCCTCATTAAGGAATATACCTTAACTCATAATATTAAGGCCTCTATCATTTAAGGTATATTCCTTTAAGGGGGTTAGGTTCTCTGAGTATTCCGACACCTATAGCAGGCAAAGGCAGGGTTCAAGTAGTCTACCATAGGCTTACGGTATCCGATGTAAAGCTCAAATTTCAACCCCTTATACAGCCCTTAGAAAGGCCTCTTACAATACTGTTCTTTTTCTAAGCCCTGAGCAACCTATGAACAAGCCGGCATCTTAGGCCCCCACCTGCAGAGTCCAATCCACACCCAGCTCTTCGGCGATGATCTGAACCTGCCAAAGAATTCTGAGCTTTTCGTTGATTTTGCATGGCTTGGAAAATTGCTTCTGGGATGTTTGTAAGGATTTGTTAAAGGTTTTCGAGGCACGAGGTTCTGATAAGAGCATAAAGAAACAAAACATGCAGCTGCATTACATGCGAGTGCTGAGTGATCTTTGTGAACACAGTTTGCCAGGTCTCAGAGTCCAAAAGGACCAAAAGGTCCATGCTGGCCTTATGCTTCGCCTGCACTCCGACATGTAGTCCATTTTTAGGGTGTTGGGTTTCAGGCTTCATTCACCATGGCAAACTCCACAGTCGGGCAACTTACCTTCGGTTTCTTTTTCTTGGCATCGGGGAACACCTCTTCTGCTCCAGTGCCCTTATCCTTGCCGGAATTCTCACTGGCCGAACACCCAACCTTGTAAGAACCCCAAAAGTTGAAAAGTTGAGTTTACAGCCAATAAGCATTCGTAATGGCTTCATGTCTGGCTTCTTTGAGTGTTTGGCCCCCTGGCGAAGATGTGAGACTGCCTGCTGTTCTCGAGGTATGGCTTGCGGGTTTTCTAGAATCATTGCGTGATCAGTACGGATGATCATAGGAGTACTGTAGGAATCCTATACTATGACATACTATATAGCACTATACTACATACTCTGCCATACCATGCTATACTAGAACTAGGCTAATATGCTGAAGTACACTATATGCCGTGCTATACAAAACCGACGGTTTTAGGGTCTAGGGTTAACAATAATCCCTAACGTATACTACGGCTGATGATATAAATCCTGCATAACCCATAAGAAGGAATATACCGTAATTCCCATAGTTTAGGGTCCCTAAGGTAATGCAGGATTTCTATCATCAACCGTAATACCTGGTGGTTCCTCAAAAAGGGCCACTTGAAGGGGTTTATAAGAGATCTATATAGTAGGGCTCTATGGTATTAGGGTATGACCATCGAAAGAGTTTGCAGATCTTCGGAGCTCGGGCTTGGAACTTTCCTTCGGGTTTAGGGTACTGGGGTATGTGTGTGTATATATATATATACATACATGGTTTCCTTCGGGGATTACCATACATACGTACATACATACATACATATATATATATATATATGTATGTTATAAAACTTGGCATGCAGATAGGGGAACTACAGGTTCACCTTTGGGATTTCTTAAAGATTCTAGCACCCGAAAAAGGTTGAAGGTTACCTACACCGACAATTGCTGTGTTTAGGGTTTAGGGCTATCGGTGTTTAGGATAGATGACAATAATACTGTGCGATCACAGTCGCCATCATCCCTGACAGTGGATTCATGTATGTAGGGATTTTGTTGATCAATGCCAAGAAGTCCCTCACCTGATAGATTTGGAAGTCTTCGTCACCCTTGCCAAGGAACGCCTTTAAGCTTTGAGCTGGAACGCATCCTCTAACTGAAGTACCTTCCGCATCTGGGTGGCATTGGAGTCTGTGAAGGCCTAGGTTCCTGAGTAGCCCCTTTACCTTTATAATAAGAGTACCCCTTTTGCTGGTAGTCGGCTTTAATAGCGAGACCTTCCTCAGTTCAGTAACAAGGGCAAAAGGGTAGCCTCTAAGCCCTGAAAACCCCAAAGGTCGTTTGTAGAACTCTTTAACTACTATTTGCTTAAGGACCCCCAAAAAATAAAAAATATATTCCTTATGGGGGTAATATAGGGATTATTATTTTTACTTTTTGGGGGTTTCTTAAGCAAGTAGTAGTTAAGAAGCCCTTTCAGGGACGCTCTAAGGGCACTCCTCAGGAACTGAAAGGCCCTCTTCGGCCCCCGGAGCCCCTGAGCCCCCCCAAGACCTTGAGAAGGACCTTTGTAATGGTTCGCGTAAGGAGATCATACAACTCCAGAAAGTTGGAATATGGATTAATGGTAGGATCCCCCATAATTTACCTTAAAGGGGTTACGAGAATGATATTCCAACTTTCTGGCTTCTACTGTAATGGAAAACTCAGAAACCCCAAAAGGACCCAGTCAAGGATGTCCATCAGCCCAAGGAAATCATAAAACGGAACCTTTTTCCAGGATTTATATCAGGAAAGCACAAGAATAAGTTTCTTAGGGTCCCGCAGGCAAGCCTTGAAGCTCTGTTTTGGTTTCTGGGCCCAAGACGAACCAGTTTCCATGAAACCCTGATAATTAGTCTAGACACCACTGATAAAGGAACCTTATTCTGGTTCAACAACAACGTCCCTATCCTAACCAGCACGGTGCCTGCACAAAGTCTGTCCAGCTCTGTTCTTCAGACGACTGTGCGTAGATGGGGACGTCCTCGCGTTCCAGGGTTTAGGGTGCTTTGGGTTTACTCTGGTACGATCATATAGGACTGCAGGAAATCGATACCAGCACTTACTCATTGTTCCGACTCGTATGTGTCATTGTTGTCTTCTGTGGGTTGACAAAAAGCGTAAGACTGCGCCATCGTAATGCGATTGGGCCAACCAATCCCTGGCGAGCACGAACCCTAGACCCCAAGATTACGCGCCCCAAACTCTAAACTCCTACATAGGGCTACTTAGTAACTAAGGTTACAAATAAGGTAACTATACTTATAACTGGTTACATCCCCAGTTAAGGTACTATTATAATTGTACTTACTAAGTCCCATGAACCTCCAAGTAAACCCTACCCAAACAATCAAGGCGGATTCCGGGTCTAGCGCGGTATAGACAACCCCTGCCCTCACCCTGACCATCGCCCCTATAGGAGCCTGCATCGGAACCCTCACAGGGAACCCGATTGTAGAGCAAGGGAACCCTATCATGGAACCCTATACCTACAGTCTCCTATTCTAGTTCCTTTTTTGGTTAACCAGTTTTATGGTTGGGATCCTTTTATAGAGATTTTGGTTAACCAAAAAAGGAACTACAATGGAGACTTTAGGTAGTAGCCTTGATCGTCGACTCTATCGGAACCCTTAAAGGATCCCTGGAAAGGCCCCAGAAAGCATCCCTTCAAAGCTCCTCTTGAAGGATCCCTTAAGTGAAAGCGCGTCTGGCTTCAATTCTGGGAGTGTCGGGTCGAATCACCCTTCACGGCGCGAGGTCAGCACATAGAGCAGGGTTCTACTATGGGGGCCTCAGTTATTGGAGTGGGGTCATGGGGTGTATACCAACATCGTGATCGAAAACGGAGCCCTAAGGAGTAGTGTTGTCATTTCTGGCTTTTAGAGTACAGCCAAGGCTGACACTTGCATTTATACAGACTGCATCGCGGCTGTTGAAGAAGGTGAAGCATTTAGCCATGGCCGGAGTGTAAAACTCCCCTGCACCCGGCACCCTAAAACCTATACGTACCCCGACAAGGCCCGCTACAGCTATCGGTTACCTTAGCAGCTCTGAAGATAGCAACCCAAGCCGCAGTTCGAAAGAATACATTCAATGTAACATAGGGGCCTTCGTCGCCTGAGCCTTTGGACTACTTGCAAATAGTTTTATGCAGGTAGCGGAAAACTGCTTTTGACTTAACCTTGAGGGGAAGATACGGAACACTAGACTCTACGGCAACACAGATTGAGTCTTGGAGCATAAGTTCCAATCAACACACTGCACCTTAAAAGACGACCGTCCCAAACTTTACAAGAACATTTATATCCCTGGGCGCCGGGCCAGGGAAGGATGCGGATCGTTGTCGAAGATCCGGTAGGCGAAAGAGAAATCTTCCATTCCTGCAACACCTTCGAACGGAGATGGTCGGGTACAGGGCTGATATTCCCAAAGGGTCCTAGGTACTATTACGGGGGATACCTCCCCAAACCATAATAGTAATTTCTAACATAAACCCTACATTCTACTATACAGGTACTTTGGACCCTTCGGGGATTCATGCTTCTTATCGGTGTCTATGATTTAGTTTTATAGGGCCTTGCAGGTAGTTCCGTCTTACAGGTCTGAAAAATTGATTAATAAGAGTCCAGGTCTAAGGCCTTTGTAGTTGTGGGGCACAGAAACCCATCGGCGACAAGCAAAGTACGGGACTCTGTATGTTCTACTCCAACTGTTCTACCATAAACCCGCACCCAAAGCCGACAAATGACCAATGTTCAACAGGGGCCCTTACAAAAAAAACAGCCCCGCCTCTTCGGAACCCAAAACCCTAAACTTTGCCCTAAACCCTAAACTTTGCCCTAAACCCTAGACCCTAAACTTTGCCCTAAACCCTAAACCCTGACATATGTAGGGATTCAGGTGATCCTGAAAAGAGGAGCTTCACTTCGAAACCCGTCAGGAACTATCCTGAGACTCATACACCGAAGGGCCCGAGGTACCTACAAGGGCTCCTTTAAAGAAAAGCTACTATCAGGGTCCCTTTACGGGCTTCTATAAGGGTCCCTTTAAGGGCTTCTATAAGGTTTAGGGTTTAAGGTACCTTTTGTAGTAGAATGAGTTTCCATAACTAACATTATGATTTGGGGAAGTATTCCCCTTAGCAGTACCTAGGGCTCTTAGGGTGTAAACGTTGAACACCCTCCCTTAACGCATAAGGCTGGCAATTGTAAGGTCCTGGGGTGCATTGATCAGGAAAGCCACCGGACCCTGTACGAGCTGCCTCAGGCCCTGATAACAAATCTCGTATTAGTGGCTGAGTACCCTGGCACAAAACAGGTTGACCTTTATGGTAGGTGATATCAACTCCAAAAGGCTTAAGGTTAGCTACGCAGCTACGAAGTCATAAACCACTTGTCCAGTATCCTAGGGAACTATAGGTTGACCTTGAGGATTCTCTAAGGTTATATATATATATATATGGAGAGAGAGAGAGAGAGAGAGAGAGAGAGTATATATATAGAGTACCCCCAAAAAGGCTAAAGGTTACCTACATAGAAACTCCAATATCCCCTCGTGAAGCAATATACCTTAAGTGCTGCTATGGATCCTATTATAATTTAAGGTATATATACCTTAATTCAGGGAATGATGGTGTGACACACGTGTAAGTTCCAAAGCCGACTGTCATTTGGCCCCATTGACTGAAGAGTCCAAGCGGGTACCACCGATGGCGAAAGCCGGCCTGGTAGCAGAGGGCCAGCGAAAGGCACAACAGGCATTATGGCAGAATCTTGCTGGGATCTGGATACCCTGTGCCCAGACCCCCGCCCGCTTTTTGGATGCTCCCGGAGGTCTGTGTGAGCCATGTAGAGGTTCCAGCAGCACCCGAGGGAGTCGAAGCGCTGCTCACGCCTCTCGCCGTACGACCAGGGGTTGCTGTCCATCTGCAAGGACCCAGAGATCCCACCAGGGCCCTTAATTAAGGAATATAGCCTATTAGGGTTCCTTTAAAGGGATCTAATATGGTTTTGGGTTTAAGGAGTTCTAATACCCCTTAATTAAGGAATATATATATATATATATATGTCACAAGAGGAAGGCCTCTACAATTTAAGGTATATTCCTTAATTAAGGGGCATTGGATTCCCTGGGGAGTTGAGCAGAGGAACCGCAATGAGCCTCCTCACCATCGGCGCCGAGCCCCAGCCATTCTTAGTGTTGTAAGGCACATCATTGGCTGTTGCTGCGATGCTGGCCCGAGTCCTGTCCGTACCCGCCACCGTAGAGATCAGGCCCTCTCCGTTGGCCAACTTGAGTTAAGTCGGAGTTGAAGGTGCCATGCTTCAGAGCAGAATCGGGATGGGTGAGAATCGAGCCACTGATCAGTCGGAGGCATCATGCCCAGCAAGAGGTGTTCCCGGCATGCCAAGGTAGTCCTTGCTGAGTGCTCGCTCGCCAGAAATGCCAGCGTCATGCTGATGTAAGGCACCAGCGTGCTCTTCCTGGCTGCAGCCGGCCCTACCAGGAGGAGGGCACGGGGACGAGTCTGCTCAGCCCTGGAGGAGTTGGGAGGGACTAAACGTCAACATTTGGGATGAATTAGACATTATACGCCCCCAAGAAGGTTCATGGTTACCTACCCTACTACTAAAGTAGGCATACCCCGGTAAGATGCTGATGCTTATGTCCTCCTTGGGCGCCTGATTTAAAGCAACGTTGAGATGCCCTAATCCCCAATCCCTAAACCCTAAGCGATCCCAACAGGATTTCAACTTAGCTTTCATAAATTTCTATTGCCCTAAGGGTTCCTTTGAGGCTTCCTCTAAGGGTTCCTTTAAGGGTTCCTTTAAGGATTCCGTTAAGGGTACTTCTAAACAGTTCTTTAAGCTTTGGCTCCTTTACAGCAATGCCTAAGAAACAGCTGAAACTATTGTTTTTGCTAGGGTCCTAAGTTCAGTATACAGCTTAGGGACCCCCAAAGGACCAAAAGGACAAAAGGGTCCATCATAGGGATCCTTAGGGGTGTAGGGGGGAGGGATGTAGGGGACTATATTTCCTTAAATAAGCCTTATTAGTCCTTATTATGGGCCTTAAGGCCCCCTACCCCCCCTCCCCCTACACCCCTAAGGATCCCTATGAGTCCATGCACCCAATCAGGCTCCTTTAACTAGACCCAAGAGTAGCCTAGGAATAAAAAGGGTGCCCTTTTTGGGTTAAAGGGGCTTATAAGGGAACCTGAATCCTGAAAAAGGGAATAAGGGCCTACTCTAGGTCCTAGTTAAGCGTACCATAAGAGAGTTCCTTTCAGGGTTATGGGTATAAGGGCCAGGGACCCCGAAAGGGCATAAGCATAAGCAGTTTGTAGGGATATCCTTTCCCTATTGGGCTTTATTGTAAGTGCCGGGGGGCAGCGCTCTGAAAGGATCTTAGGGTTTTGGGTTTAGGTTTTTATCGATTGGGGTTAAGGCTTGTAGGGTTTACGGTTTAGGGATTTGGCCGGGGCCCTTGCGGTGCTTTCCCAACTGCAGCCGCTCCAGTTGCACTGGAGCGGTCAGGTCCTCGGTGGATCCCTGGTAAGGGGCCTTAAGCGAACCCTTCAAGGAGCCTTAAAAGGAGCCCAAAAAAGGCAACCCCTTAAACGCTATAGATCCCTTAAGGGAACCCTTAGAGGAGCCCTTAAAAGGAGCCCAAAAGAAGGAGCCTTAAATCCTAAACCCCGAAACCCCTAAACTCCTGCATAAGGTCCTCGGTAGAGCTCAAGTCTTTAAGGGTCTTTAAGGGGGTCTGGGTAAAGGAGCCCTTTAGAAAAAGCCCAAAATCCCATTAAAGGGATCCTGCATAGGGTCTTTAAGGGTCTAGGATCTTTAAGGGTTTTACCGGGAGGTCTCAAGAGGGCTGCCTTGGGGTTTCCTAGGAGTCTCAAGAAGAGTCTAGGGATGCGGGGTTTAGTGGGGGGGGGGGGGGGGGGGGGGGGGGGGGGGGGCTGAAGGGCTTTCTGGGGCTTCTAGAGCGTCCTATAGGGTTTTACAAGGCTCTATAGAGCTTCTTCCTAGGGCTTTGGGGCCTAAAAGTGGCTTTCTGGGAACTTTCTCGGGGTTTCAAGCATGCTTTAGATTGCAGGGTTTAGCACAAGGTCCTCGGTAGATCGTGGGGCCTTAAGAGTTTAGGGTTTAGGGTTTAGGGTTTAGGGTTCAGGGTTCAGGCTTTAGGGTTTAGGGTTTAGGGTTTAGGGTTTAGGGTTTAGGGTTCAGGGTTCTGAGTTCCTTTCCACGTTTGGTGTCTAGGCTTGGGAAGGCTTCGATGGAGCCTTAGAGGGTTTCATCATGCTTTTCTAGAGCTTCTTAGGGCTCTTAGGGTTTAGGGTTTAGGGCTTTTCTAGAGCTTCTTAGGGCTCTTAGGGTTTAGGGTTTAGGGCTTAGGGCTTTTCTAGAGCTTCTTAGGGTTTTGGGGGCTAGATGGTTGGAGTAGGGTTCCATTGTCTATCTACGGGTTTAAAATGTAGTGCTTGGTATAATTTCCTGGGTTTTTCGTTTCGGTCTCGGGTTCAGGGTAGGGTTTGGGGCTTGAGGGTTTAAGGGTTTAAGGTTTAGTTTAGGGTTTAGGGTTTAGAAGGGTTTCGTGTATAGGGTGTGCTTTAAGGGTTTAGGGTTGAGGGTGTTTGTCTTCGTCTTCGCCCAGCATGCGTGCCAGTGTCTTCTATTTGGCACACTTGTTGCAGTGGTTTCAACTATTGGTTCAAAGGTGTTGTGGGCTTCGTGGTTTAGCAATAATCTACCTGGGAGTTTCCGAAAATTGGGCGTACCTTGTTTTGGGGTCCTTATAATGAGGATCCTACTATTTATAGGGTCCTATTTTAGGGTCCCCTATTTTCGGTAACTCCCACCTGCCGTCGGGATACTCGGAGTGCACTCCGGGTTCTATGAGGGCAACTGGGGCTCTGTCGGGGACTTTTGGCTGTAATTGGAGGGGCAGGGGACTTGGTAAGTAGGCTTATAAGTAGGGTTATATAGGGGGTGACTCCATTAAGGGTACTTATAAGTCTACTTATAACTATACTTGCTAAGTCTCCTGCCCCTCCAAGTATACCTGCAAAGTTCCTAGGGTTCCTTTAAAGGGGTCCATCAGGGTCACTCTAAGGGATACTGTAAGGGTGCTATAATATAGGATGTAACCGGAGCCCTAGGGTTACACAGCTGAAGAAAGGTTTCTTCGCGATGGGAGCCCCGTAAGGTGCGAAAGGTTGGACTCTGGCGACCGATGCTTAGGGTTTAGGGGTTGGGGTCTAGGGTTTAGGGCTTGGGGGTTGGGTTTTTTTTTGATCTATGGTAGCGGACCTTTTCTGCAAAGCCTGCTCGCCCTTGGTGGGCACATAGGGTATAAGAGGGTTTAGGGCCTAGGGGTTAGGGTTTAGGCGTCAGGATTTAGGGTTTAGGGGTTACGGTTTAGGGTTTAGGAAACCCCAACAACCTAGCCTGAGCTCGGAATCCCACAGAAAGCGCGCCAAGGTGAAACACTGTCTTACTGGCCCAAAAAAGTTCAAAGGTTCCTATCATAGACCGACACCGAAAGCTCTTAAACCCTGAGCCCTCAAAAGTTGAACCTTGTTGCAAACCCGAAAACCTCCTACAGTAGAAGCCAGAAAGTTGGAACATCATTGGCCTCATGCCCCTAAGGTAAAGTATAAGGGATCCTAGAACTAATCCTCCTAAAGTCATGTTCCAACTTTCTGGCTTCTACTATACAGCTGCTCAAGTCCCGACAACCCCTCTAAATCCTGAACCCGCGGCAGACCCCCAACCCGTAAACGCCCCAAACAAACACTCTGCAGAAGCCTGGACCTCCAGACCTTAAGCCCCTAAAACCTGAACCATGAATCCCTCAGCCCTACTTAAAGTTTCAGGGGTAGTTCTAAGTGGGGTTATATATATATATATATATATATATATATACGTAGGGTAACCAAAATTACAACCCATAATAGGGCACTTATACCGCCACTTATAACTACCCATGAACGTCCAAGTAAAAAGCCCCTACATGTCAATGCCCAGCAGCCAGGTGCACACACCCAATATAGGGGCCTTAATGATTAGAAAAGGTTTTGGACCCTGTATACTATAATTATCATAAATAAGGAACCCCAAAACCACTTAAACCCCCCTGAGCCGCGCTGCTTCGACCTTGGCCAGCATGGTCGCAAAGCCCCAGAAGTAGGTCTGCCTGCCGGCCTGGGAGATGGATCCGAACTGAGGGAGCAACCCAAATGTATGGTCACGCTCCGTGAACCCCCCCCCCCCCGCCCCCCTACAAAGGTCAATGGTCCGGATAGAGGGTGGCCCCCCTCCCATGTGGCGTGGGGGTGTGGGGTCCCTCTCCTTCCTGTGGGGTGGTTGTGGGGATTTTGGACTTAAGCTTTTGTTCAGCTTTTGAGTTTTGGGCGTGCGGTTAAAAGGAATAAGACTTCGAATCGATAAGGGCTTACGGAGGATTTGGGGTGTATGTTCTGCTTTCGGCTTAAAGGCTTAGAGCCTGCATTTAGGCGGCGTCTAGGGTTGGGTGTAGGGTTAGTAGTACACGTTAAGGTTAATCAAGACAGGAGCAAGCGCTACGTTATAGCGTTTACATGTAGTCGAAACGACCTACCCTTTTTGAATGTACTATGTATGGAAACCATAAAAAGAAGACCCTAAACGGTAGGTCTTTTCTGCTACAGGTACGACTTGCGAAGGGCTTGTGTGTGAGCTGTGGCCGGCCCCCACCATCGACGCCAGCCGCCCGCCCCCATCACCACCAGACCGTGTCAATTTTGTTTTTGAGGGGGGGGAGGGGGGGCGGGAACGCCAAACGCCGTTGCCACATATAAATATAGAAGCGATTAAATATGAATACATAATTCGGTAAACAAACAAAAAGGAAAATGCAAATATACATATACATATACATGTATGTATATGTATATGTATATGTATATGTATTCGTATTTGTTTGTATATGTATATATATATATATATATATGCATATACATTTGTCTTTGCAGACATATGAATATGCATGATTGAATGTTTATTTGTAATCGTGTTTGTGCTTATGTTTACAACTATAGTTGTACCTTCTATTACTTCTTGATTTTTTTGTTTAGGTAGTGTGCGTGTGTCATTATGTGCCTGGAAAAAAAGGGTTTGGAGGGTGCATCTAGGAACCTTCCTTACCAAAGACAGAGATCCGAATCTAACTGTTTTTGAGGTATGATCGTGACAGTCCTTAATTAGCATGCTCGGCTCTTCGGAACCTCCTTATTTATGGTTTCTGCTACCCAAAAGGACCCCAAAGTCCTATACTAAGTGGGTGGTTGTCAAAATTAGGGCCCCTCTTTGGGTCCCTATTGTAATACGGCACCTAATATTTAGGGCACCCAAAAAGGGACCCTAATTTTGACAACCACTCAAGTAGTACTTGGACTCTTCGGGTTTGCCCATCCGAAACCCCACGCCTCGTCGAGAGGCCCAGGGTACGAACAGCCCTCCGATCGGAAGTCTGGAATGGAGCAAATGCGCGTGTAGTTGACGCCATCCCTTCAGGGGCTCCGGGTTTAGGAGTTTAGGGGTTTAGGGTTTAGGGGTTAGGGTTTGGGGGTTATAGGGATTAAGGGTTTAGGGCTTAGGGTTTGGGAGTCAGTCTTTAGGTGTTTAGGGTGTGGGGCTCAGGGTTTAGGGGTTAGGGTTCATGGGTTTAGTAAGGGCTTAGGGGTTTGGGGTTTACGGTTGTGTCGTTGCCGCCATCCCTTGGACGGGTGTCTCCCATCGTTGAGGGCTCAGAGGCTCAGGGCGGCTAGTGTAGGGGCCTTAATAAGTAGAATAGGGTTTTGCACTGGGCGACTGCTCGTTGACACCAGGGTTCTCCCTTTGAAACCATGGGCCCCTAGTATGGGGCCTTAACTTTGGGATCCTGATATACCTACTATATACCCTATATAAAGACTCTTAAAGGTCCCTAGAACCCCGTCACAAAGGCCTAGGTCCATGTTAGGGGCCCATACTTTTAACTTTGGAAGGGTGTTTGTTCGGGGCAGTGGAATGGGACTTGGGACCAGCGTCTCGCCTTTAGCGTAGTGAGCGGTTCTAAACCCCGATCGACCCCGACCTTCGTCCTAGCCCGATATTGTAGTGGCTGAAATAATACCAATACTATGCCGAGGGTTTCTTAATATATGTTTATAGTATAATATGCCAGCCGTCGGCCTCTTCGATTCCATAGCAGGGCTGACGAACAGTATGGGAGTTTCCGACAGTAGGGGACCCCAATGCAGTACCCTTATTGTGAGGACCCCAAATACGGTACCCCTCAGTTTTTGAAACTCCCATATCGGAGTTGGAAATGGTATATCGCTGGATATTGATAAATGCAGGATTGTGTACAGACGGAATAATGTTCGGGATCTGCAACCAGATGACCCTTCAACGACAAAAGGCCTGTACAACCTTTGCTTGAATTCCGATATGAAGTATTCATTAGAAGCTCTTGCCGTTTTCATTTGGTCTTAAGCTACGCCACTGTAGACTTTCCTGGATCCCGAACCCACGAAAAGTCCGTGTGTGCCAGGCGACGCCACAGCCCACGCATCGGGCAGGTTCTGTGGCGCCTCGCATTTTTGTCGGTGGCTCATGGCTTTTGGGTGGTTTGCGAGTTTGGCGTTAGAGGCTCTTCTCACTAATGTTTTCAACAGCAAACTTCATCTACCCCATTCCCGCTGCCCGCAACATACACTCGAAAAGTCGTTGACCTTCTGGGGCGTGGGCCATGATTATTATCATCTGCTGGGTGCTTATCGGTAGGCCACAGTTGAACCGAAACAAAAGACAGGGCGAGGGAGAGACAGAGACAAACAAATGAATCATGTGTTGCTTAGCTTCACAGCGAGGGAAGCTTCCGTGTTTTTGTTTGCTTGACCCCTAAAACCTAAACCGTAAACCCTAAACCTGTCGGAGCGCTGAACACCCCCCCAACTCACAGTAGTTTCGAACTAAGGGCGAGGATGATTCCCGGTTCGTTTTTGGAAATGTATGCCCCTTAGTTGGGGGGTGAGTAATAGATGGGTGGTTGTCAAAATTTGGGTCCCTTTTTGGGTACCATAAATCTTAAGTGTCGTATTATAATGGGTACCCAAAAGAGGACCATAATTTTGACAACCACCCAAATCGGTAAGGGATTGCGCCTGATCGAAACCTGCTTTGAGGGTTTAATTCACGGTGCGCCATTACAGCTATAGGGGCGCTAAGGTCTTGGGAGGGGTTGCGAAGCAGTCCTTTGCTGGGAAAGACTTGAAGAAGTTACACTAACGGATTTGCTTCTCCTTGATGAACTCGCCATGCGAAAGACAGGCCTGTTCAAGAACCCAAGCACTAAACCAAGACCTGAAACGATAAAATACCCAAATCCTTTAGTCCCAAGCCCCCAGAACCCCAAAACTAAAAGCACCACTCTTCATAAGCGCTAAAACCCTGACTCTTAAGCCCAAAACCCTAAATTGGCCCAAAGTCTTAAACCCCCTCTGGGCACAGCAAAAAAAACGAAGGAGTCTGAGGCGCATAGGGTGAAAAGATAGGATGTCGGACGATGAGAGCTACTCCCCCCTGCAGTAGCCGAAGTGGTCCGATCACCTGAGACATGCGTTTCATATAGGAGCCTTCCTAGACCCTCCATCTACCCTCTATTAGAGCCTGAATGCCCCTTATTTGGGACCATATACCCCTATTTCAGACAAGGAGGGTCCTGGTTACTAATTCTTGAATTTGAATTGCAAGAAGGGTTCCTAAGGAATCCTTATAGATGGGAGCCTGAAACAGTCTGCACACGACTTGTATTTAGTGAGTACAAGAAGGATTTGTAAGGAGTTTGATTCGCAATTATCAGGCAGCTAGTATTTGGGTTACAATTGGGTGTTTGGGCAATTACAAACTATGCAACAGTTTTATAATAATTCCGGCATCTATATTGGGGGCGAAGGCCTCGGGGCTTTCAAGTATTGAAGCTGACGGTTCAGAGACACTCGTTTTGGAGAGACCCCCAAAGCCTTTCTCCGAAATGGGTGTTCCTAGGGTTCCATTGGATTTCTCCCGCCTCCATGGATTTTTGATCATATATGCCAGGGTAGAGTACAGGGCTTCATCATCTTTTCCGCGTGTTAGGTTGAAAAAGGCAAACGACACAGGAAGGTCGCATAGATCTAGAAGTGGGCGAACCAAGAGGTGCCGGCTGGTGGCTCATAAGTCATAAGAAGCCACTACTTGAAAGTTCATAAGCCGTCAAAAGCCCTAAACCCAATCCACAAACCTACACCCGAAATCCAAAACCCTAAACCCGAAATGCAAAACCCTAAACCGGGTACCCCTTACAAGCGCAGCTCGAAGTGGCTACTTGCAAGTGTCGTTGCCTTACTTGTTATCCTCCTACTAAGTCCCCTAATCCTGTAAGCAGGGCTACAAGTATGCAAATAGTACCGACGTTGGCGGTCTAAAGTCTATAAATAATACCTACTTTACATACCTACTTTGGGCTATTTGGAACGCCAGGGAAATTATTAAGTGGGTTTACAAGGGTTTAGGGTTTAGGGGTTTAGGGTTTGAGTTGGATGTTTAGGGTACCCTCTGGTCGCAGCTTCAACTTTGAGTCACACGCCCGCAAGTCCGAGATTAAACTGCTTCGGCGTACCCTAACCCAAAATAAGCTACCTTTTTAAGGACTTATACAAAGAAATCATAGGAAGGAATCCTAAAAAGGTAGGTTATTCAGAGTTCAGGTAGGGCCTAGGGTTAGGGGTTAAGGCTTCAGGGTTTAAGGGACCCCCCGGGAAATAGATTTCTCAGGAGCATTGGTCGTGTTACGCAAGCCTCCAGAGTGTGGAAGCCAAGCAAATTGTGGTTGCCGAGTTCCGTGGCCACAAAAGCCAAGGTTTAAGCAATGGCAAGCCTGGTAACTTTGACATTACCAGCCCATACCAGCCCTGTGCTGAGCAAAAAGTGCTGGAACCAGGTAGTGATCCTGCGGCAGACCCGCTCCAAAAACTCCAAAAGCTTCATGTTCGCACTGTGAGCATCTGAAGAGCCTTGAACATGTTGGCAGAATTCACAACGCACAGGGCCTCAGTGGGTCGGCATGAATACAAACCAGACCTTACCTATAGTAGAGGCCAGACAGTTGGAACATTAGACTCCTCATGCGCTTAAGGTAAAATCTAAAAGATCCTAGGACTGATCCTCCTAAAGCCATGTTCCAACTTTCTGGCTTCTACTGTATGCACACCCGTAACTGAAAGACCGACCCTGCGAAGCCCGAATAAACCCCATATCAAGATTACAAGAACCTCATAAACACCTTTGAAGCCCTGCCATACTCTCTTCTCCAATATCCGGGCCAAAAAAGTTCGAGCTGTCTATCACAGACTAAGTATACAGGGCCAACAAGATTAAACTCCTCCCACATAGGCTATGTAGGTAATACTGCTGATGGACAAAATCCTGCATTACCCAGAATAAGGAACATACCATAACTCCCATAGTTTAGAGACCTTAGGGTCAGGCAGGATTTTGTCCATCAACAGTATGAACCCTTGAACCGAAACCCTAAACCCTAAACCCTTTCCGAAAATAGGGGACCCTAATATAGTACCCTAAATAGTAGGATCCTTATTAGAAGGACGCCAAAATAAGGTACCCCTAAGTGGGGTTATCCTAAATATAACCTACTTACAACCTTACTTACTAAGTCCCATGAGCCTTTAAGTATGAACCCCTAAACCCTAAAACCCTATAGATCCCTTAAAGGTACCCTTATAGATCCCTTTAAAGGAGCCCCAGGAAAACATCAGCAGTATGAACCCTACTTCCTTGTGCGGACCAGAGGGCCGAAACCCTAAACCCTAAACCCTTTCCGAAAATAGGGGACCCTAATATAGTACCCTAAATAGTAGGATCCTTATTAGAAGGACCCCCAACATAAGTTACTTCCTTCTGCAGACCAGAGGGGCGGTGGTCCTTCTCTCCAGCACGGATGCCAGAGCCTCAACCTCACACAGAAGGATCATATGGGAGTTTCCGAAAATTAGGGGTACCTTATTTTGGGGTCCTTGTATTAAGGATCCTACTAATCAAGGTACTATATTAGGGTCCCCTATTTTTCGGAAACTCCCATATTAAGAGGCCTTGTAAGCATTACCTCAATGCTTCTTTCGACTTCTACACTACGTGCGCTTTCGGGAACATCCTGCCTTGTGGCTCGGGTGCAGGAGCAAGTTCAATCCCAACGCGGGAGTGTTGTCCTTCGAGTGCAGTGGTGCGTTAGTCCGTTCCCCTTAGAGTCCTTGTACGTTGTTTCGGGTTCCTGCCAGGATTCCTTCGCCCTTCAGGGTTGCATAAGGTTTCTGGGTGTTTGTTGGGCGTTTGAAATAGGGTTTGGTCTAGGGTTTGGACGGTCCATATACCGTTACCTATATAATACATACTCATGCCCTGAGGGGGTTCCTGGACAGTAACTTTAGGACCGAAGTACATACTTAGACTGCGCACGCGGACCCACAGGCTTCATTCGTTCCACGGGCTTGTGTGTGCCTTTGACGGCTCCTTGTAGGGTTACTTTTGCGGCCACTTTCCTTCTGGGTTTTGATTCGCTACGCGTCCAAGGCCCTGATGAATTATACAACATGAAATGTATAAAACCATATACTCTCCCAAAACTAAGCTCAAGAAGTACTATCCTAAACGCAAGTACCCAAAGATTGGGTCGTTTGGACCCCCCAAGGATTCGGCAAAATCTTGGAGGCCTCCACTTGGAGGAACATGGGATTTAGTAAGTAAGGTTATAAATACCTTGATGGGGGATAAAAGTCATTATACGTATAGTTACCTTATTTATAACCCTAGTTAGTAAGTACCATGAACCTCTAAGTAGACCCTAAACCCTAAACCCTATAGATCCCATTAAGGAGCCCTGTAGATCCCTTTAAGGAGCCTAAACCCCCAGATACTACCCTTTAAGTACATGAGGACTCTAAAGTCCCTAAAGCCTAAACCTTTCTAGAGGCCCTGAAAAAGGAACCCATCAACGGAACTCTTAGGCGAACCCTACGAACTACCCCTAGGGCATTGAGTTTCGGGGTATGCCGCATTGTAGGGTTTAACATGGTGGTGCGCGTTCTTCGAGCTTTTTGATTAACTCCTCCCAGAAGTTTGGGAAATGAACAAAACCAGGCTTCGAGGTAGAGAACTTCACTTTAGGTTCAGGGGTTGAAGGGTTTAGGCTTTGGGAGTTAGGACTTTCAGTGTGAGGGGTGTGGAAGTGTTGATTTTTTGAGCACCTTCTCAGGGCTTAGGATTTAGGGGTTGAGGGTGTATGGCTTAGGGTGGTTCGGGGATGCTCGGCTTGGTCTGGTCCTGATTCTCATCTTGGAGCGGATAGATTCGCTCGATTTGCCCAGCAGGTGCCAGCTGCAGGTTGGAAATGCCCTGGTAGGTCTTGATGAAAGTGTCCTCGGCCCTAAACCCTTAGCCCCTAACTAAGCGCCTAAACCCTACACTCCATAAAGCCCTAAACCCTAAACCCCCAATCCCGGAACCAAGAAATACCCTAAACCCCTTCGGGCAGTTT